CAGTGGTTTGTAGTTCTCTTTAAAGAGGTCCTTAACACTCAATAAACTAGGTATTGACAGAACATATTTCAAAATAATAAGAGTTGTTTCTGACAAACCCACAGCCAATATCATACTGAATGGGCAAAAGCTGGAAGCATTACCTTTGAAAACTGGCACAAGACAAGGATGCCCTCTCTCACCACTCCTATTCCACATAGTATTGGAAGTTCTGGTCAGGACAATCAGGCAAGAGAAAGAAATAAAGAGTATTCAAATAGGAAGAGAGGAAGTCATATTATCTCCGTTTGCAGATGACATGATTGTATATTTAGAAAACCCCATCATCTCAGCCCAGAAACTCCTTAAGATGATAAACAACTTCAGCAAAGTCTCAGGATACAAAATCAATGTGCAAAAATCACAAGCATTCCTATACACCAGTAATAGACAAATAGAGAGCCAAATCATGAGCAAACTCCCATTCACAATTGCTACAAAGAGAATAAAATTCCTAGGAATACAACTTACAAGGGAGCTTCATTCATTTATCTAACCACCTTATAAGGTAAGTATTAGTAGTCCCACTTTACAGTTGAAGAAACCGGTATGGAGAGATTAGGTAACTCATCCAAGTCAGAAATTTGGCTTCATAGTTCATGTTTTTAACTATATTCATAGCACTGATATTATCTTCGTAACATCAATCTGTATTAGTTGTCTATTGCTGCACAAAATAGTACCACAAAACTTAGTGGCTTAAAGCAGCAAATGTTTATTATCTCACAGTTTCTGTGGTTAGGAATCTAGGTGTAGCTTAGCTGGGTCTCCTAGTTCAGGGCCTCTTACAAGGCTGCAGTCAGGGTGTTGGCAAGTACGCAGCCATCTGAAGGCTCTGATGGAGGTAAATCCACTTCTAAACTCACTCATTTGACTCTTGGCAGGAGTCGTTTCCTCCTGGGCTGTTGGACTGAGGAAATCAGTTCCTTTCCGGTTGTTGGCTGCAAGATGCCCTTTGCTGCCTGCTACAGGGACCTTTCCATTGGGCAACTTGCAGTATAGCAGCTTGCTTTATTAGAGTGAGCAAGCGAGAGAACAACAGGGCGGAGGTTATCTGTAAGGCAAAGTCACAGCCTCTTCTAATTTAATCTTGGAAGTGATATCCCACCTACTTCTGCCATATTCTGTTGTTACACATGAGTCACTAGGTCCAGGCCACAATTAGCAGAAGAGGCTTTCACAAAGGCTTGAATATCAGGAGGTAAAGATAACTGGGAGCCATTTTAGAAGATACCACATAACTCACAGTTAGTAACCAGCTTGTCTTAATTTCCATACATTTCTTTTCTTATTGAGTGAATTTGATATCAAAAGGCCTAGCTATTTTGGCTATCATAGCAGCAATGTTTTGCCATTATGCTGCATACTAACTTATAATTTATTTTCATGCTTATATCTTGTATTAGACTGCATAATGTCATCTGTTATAATATAGAATTCAAAACTCTCTATGACTTAATACAAAACAATAGGTTTTTTTTTTTTTTTTGATATGGGCCAGACTACTCTGCTAGGTGACTTTCTCTAAAGGATAATACAGGGAGTTAGACTCATGTGGCTCTACCATTTTGAAGTGCATCCCTCTGGCCATAAAGATGGAGATTTTAACAGCCAGGCTTGTGAGTGATGTTCATCATTTCTGCACACATTGCATTGCCCAGAACTAGTGACAGGGCTCAACTTAACTCAAAGGGAAGATGGGAAATGTAATCTTCTGTCTGTGCTCAGGGATAAAAGAAAGGACAAAAGGATTGGTAAGCAGTTAATTTCACCTCACAACTTATTGAGATATGCTACTTGCCTTAAAAAAATAAATATATATGTACACACACACACTGCTTAAGTGTTTCCCTTAAAAATTCTTTTGGCTCTATTTATTTCATTTTTTATTAAAAATAGCATATATGTAGAAAACACATAATCATATAATATCATTTAACATGTAATTGTAAAGCAAACAAATAAGCAACCATTCAGTCACTGCGCAGATCAAGCATTAGAATGTGGCCAGCACCCCAGAAACCCCCTGAATACTTTATCAATTACAACCCCTCACTATCCCAAATTTTATGATAATTGCTTTCCCATTACTTTATGTTTACCTCCACTAGAACCTTCTTGTTTTCCTTCTTGATTAGGATTTTGGAATTTGCCACCTCCTTCTTCTGTCTCCATGTCCTCCACTCGTATTTAGCCCTCAAATCCTTATACCCACCTGATCTCCTGTCAAACTGCTCTTCCTATCCCCAAGATCACCAAGGACTCCCTTATTATATTTGACAAATGTCTTAGTCCTTTTCTTCGTGGACTTATTTGTGGAATTTGACTATGATGGCATTTTCTCTTTCTCAAAACCTTTGACATGTTACAAGTTTCTCTAGTGGTTTTCTTCTCATATTCTTTTGGCTGATTCTTCACAGTTTTCTTGTAGGTTTATCTTCCTCTGCCCACCTTCAATATTGATGTTTCTCTGTCATTTCCTAGCAATCTCACCCACTTTTACTGTTTTAACTCCCACTTATAACTTATGATTGTTAAATCTGTATCTCTTGCTGCATATTCTCCCCTGAGTTCCAGACCCATAGCTTGTCTTCTTTCAGTCATTTCCACATGGGTAATTCATATGTATCTCTAACTTAGCAAGTTCTATGTTTTATCTTGATTAGATAGGAGCAATGATAATAACGGATAGGATCTACTGAGTTCTTTCTAGGTGCCAAGCACTGCTTTAAGTGCTTTACATGAATTAATTCATTTTAATTTTCATTTTAACAAGAAATACCATAAAGTAGTTACTATTATCATTGTACAGATGAGGAAACTGATGCATAGGAATGTTAAGCTGCTTGCCCAAGGTCACAAAGAAATATCAGGCATATCCTTGATTGAAAGTCTGGCCCTCTAGCTTCAAACCAGATTTCCTGACCCCTGTAATGCATACAGCTGCGTCTCAAGTCAGGGCTTATGTCTATGCTTTTGACCATGAGTCTAATGGACTTTGTGTAGTATTCAGCTTATTCAGACAGGGATATATAAGAGGAATATTAGTTTGAGTTGATGTGACATTATTTTAATTCTCCAGACATCTGAAAACATCTGTCAACAGTATGGCAGCTAAATCCTACCCAGGGATGACTCACCCCATTTCAAATAGAAGGAGTCAGTATTATTTTGTGTACAAATACAAAATAGGTAAGTCAAATGCAAATACAAAGAGTCAGTCACCACAAAATAATGCTGACCCCCCTCTACTAATAATAATCAAACTGATTGTACTATGTAAATTTTTTAATACTTAGTTATAAAGAATTCCCAGTAGGAGAAACTTTGCCTATTGAAGGTATGTCCATGTCTGGAGACATGAGCAACCTATTCTAAGAATAACAGACTAAGGCAGAGAAAAAAAAATGTATCAAGCTTGATGGTACAAATGTAATATACATACTTTATAACTATGGATAGACCTTTCATTTGTATTAGTGAGCTAGTTTTTAAAAACAACATGATGGAAGAATGAGAAATTTTCATTGGCTCAGCCATAAAAGTTAGTATTGTTTTATTGACTCAATGACTAAAACAAAGTACGCAATGCTTGAAAGAAATTCAGTAGCAGTTAAGTAATAATTTCCATGAAGAAATTAGTTAGTGACATATGGTATTGAAATCATGTGGAAACGTGTGGTATACACCTCTAATAGCAATACATAGAATAAGATCCCCAGAACAAGTTAGACGCACAAACTTAAGTCCTCAAATAAAGATATAAAAGTTATAAATCAGAAAAAAAAAAAGAAGAAAAGAAATCATGTGGGAAAAAAAATGCTCAACAGCACTTATCATTAGACAAATGCAAATCAAAACCACAATGAGATAACATCTCTCACCAGCCAGAATGGCCATTAAAAAGTCAAAAAATAACAGATGCTGGCAAGGTTATAGAGAAAAAGGAATGCTTGTACACTGTTGGTAGGGGTGTACATTAGTTCAATCATTGTGGAAGACAGTGCAGCGATTCCTCAAATATCTAAAAACAGACCTACCATTTGACCCAGGAATCCCATTACTGGATGTATACCCAAAGGAATATATATTGTTTTATCATAAAGACACATATACATGTATGTTTCTTGCAGCACCATTCACAATAGCAAAGACATGGAATTAACCTAAATGCCCATCAGTGGTAGAATGGATAAAGAAAATGTGGTACGTATACACCGTGGAATGCTATGCAGCCATAGAAAATGAAATCATGTCCTTTGCAGCAACATGGATGGAGCTGGAGGCCATTATCCTTAGCAAACTAATGCAGGATCAGAAAACCAAATACCACATGTTCTCACTTATAAGTGGGAGCTATGTTCACCCACACAGAGGGGAACAACACATACTGGGTCCTATGAGAGGGTGAAGGTGGGGAAGAAGGAAAAAATCAGGAAAAATAACTAATGGGTACTAAGCTTAATACCTGGGTGACGAAATAATCTGTGCAATAATCCCCCATGACACAAGTTTACCTATATAACAAACCTGGAAATATACCCCTGAACTTAAAATAAAAGATAAATAAAATTTAAAAAAAGAAAAAAGGCAAAATAACCACAGTCTCAGATAATTGTAGCCATGTTTGAATCATGTGATGACTTGTTACTTGTAATACTCATTCGAGGAAGACAGGGCCTTGGAATATGTTTGGACTCTGAAAAAATTGTTGCCTTATTAACCTTTCACAGCAAACATATATATATATATATCAAACACATATATATATATATATATATATATCAAACACATATATATATATCACTAACACAACTATAGATCTGTTGAGCTATATATATATATATAGTGTCATTGTACTTAATCTCACTGATAGCTCATTCTTTCAAAATTCTCAGAATTCACTTTAATAGTTCAAATGTTCTCTAAAGTAACTTTCTTACTTTTCTCTTTTTGCTTAGGTGATGCTGGGTCAAAAATCCATCTGACTCAACAGGTAGACATAGCGGCACAGGTTGCCTCTGGAATGGCCTATCTGGAGTCTCGGAACTACATTCACAGAGATCTGGCTGCCAGAAATGTCCTTGTTGGTGAACACAATATCTACAAAGTAGCAGATTTTGGACTTGCCAGAGTTTTTAAGGTGGATTTAGTTTTGTTTTAATTAGTTTTTGTGATAAGTCAAAAGTCTAATAGTTAGTAAACCAATAGATATACTGTTATTCTTTAAAACAATGTTTCTCCAAGTTCTGTAGTCCATAAACTACTTCAGTAGTCCAAAACCTTACAAACTACCTGCACATTCCTATTTCTTTATCAAGGAGAAACAAAATAGAGAAAACAGTGACCAACCAGATTGGAAAGTATGTACTTAAATAAGTAGTTGAATTAATGATCTGTTTTTCAGTTAGTACCAGTCACCTCTGTTCGCCTATATTTCCTTTACAAAAGCTGTACACTTTGTGCAGTGTTAACCTAACTACCATTACTCACTGTATGCCAGACTAATTTGCATGCCACCAGAATTCTTCAGCAATCATTGGCTTTTTGATTTCCCAATTTTTATCTCAGTCTGAAAGATACTCTATAGGAGATGTAATATTAGGTGTTTTTCTCTTAAATTAATTTGAAATTTCCATATTGTACCCTAAAAATATGGATACAGGGCATGAAACAACAAATAAATGATTCCCTTTTAATCTTCATGAAAACATCATTTTTTTTTCTTTTTGTAAATTAATTAGTACCCCAGTGAGTTTATATATTAATTTGAAACACTTAGATCCTACTTTTCATTATTAGCAAGTGGTTACATGGTAATTATCAAAGTCAGTGGCTTCTCAATATCATCAGTAAATCAAACAATAGACTTTCCTTCCTTTTTTCTTGCTCAGGATCAGATGTGAAGCCAGAATCTGTATTAATTCTCCAAATGTAGTAGAATGTTTCTTTCAGTGCTATTCTTGGCACATAGTAGGCTCTTAAATAATATTTTATTAATGACTTCCCACATATTTTTCAGTCTTGTATACCAGATTCAGAATTTGCTAATGTAATTGTCAATTGAACTAGCTCATTTTGAATCTTTTTCTCTAAATTTTGATGTGAAGCAGATTATAGATGAATGAGGGTAGCAAAAAAAAATTGCTTTAACTTGGCCTGGATTCCTTAATGCATTAACAGGTAGATAATGAAGACATCTATGAATCTAAACACGAAATAAAGCTGCCGGTGAAGTGGACTGCGCCCGAAGCCATTCGTACTAATAAATTCAGCATTAAGTCCGATGTGTGGTCATTTGGAATCCTTCTTTATGAAATCATTACTTATGGCAAAACGCCTTACAGTGGTGAGTAATTAATTCTGAAGTGGACCTTTCTGCTGCAGGTCACTTACTTAGGTGTGACTTTAACTGCTTTTCCCAGACTTAGAGGGCAGAGTTATGAGGCTGACCATACCAAGTACCTGCGGGAGCTTGATAGATAAAATTTGATGATGATAATTTGCATTAATGAGGTGGTTTATTACTTCCCTCTCCTTTGCTAGTGAATTGCAGTCTTATAGACATCACTTGCTGCAGGACTTAGTTTAATCCGTGTAACCTGGGAAGGGGATGGTAGACCTCAAAGCTTTCCAAGGAAATTGACTTACTTAGTAACCTAGAGTATAAATGGCTATAAGTTTAAGACTCTGAGCTTCAACTTTGTTTTTTGTTGTTGTTGTTGTTATTGTTTCTGTTCTGTATTTTCTAGGTATGACAGGTGCCCAGGTAATCCAGATGTTGGCTCAAAACTATAGACTTCCCCAACCATCCAATTGTCCACAGCAATTTTACAACATCATGTTGGAGTGCTGGAATGCAGAGCCTAAGGAACGACCTACATTTGAGACACTGCATTGGAAACTTGAGGACTATTTTGAAACAGACTCTTCATATTCAGATGCAAATAACTTCATAAGATGAACACTGGAGAAGAATATCAAATAATAAAGTAGCAAAACAAATTCAAATAGTCAGTTCCAAAGTACAATGTTATCAACCAACTCCACAATCAGTTTATCCTGACGTATTCAAGTGATAGGATAAAGTTGGCCATGTATTATAAAAAAAAAAATGTATTTGTGCATTTTATTGACTGGACAACACTGCAAGACTATCAAGGTGATATATAATTTCCTCACTGCCTGGTAAAATTAAGCACACTAAACAGTTATTTTTCTTTTTAACTGATACTTACATTTCAATTTATTGTTTGAAATGCCGATCAAGAGAATCAACAGATGATAGTCAGTTTTTACTCAGTGACTGTTGTAGCATCTTCCTGTTTACTGATTAGAGTGGTTATTCATTATTCCTCAGATTGCTGAATCCCATCAGGCTGTTATTATAAAGGAATTTGATTGCTTTGCTGCACAGCAGGACCTGTGCTTTGAGATTTTTTTTTTTTTCTCTTTTAAAATATCCTGTAACTACAGTGATGGTAAAGCCATGTTAAATGACTTGATTGTACTTGGAGTAATTGCACATTTTTTTCTATGCATAAAAAAATGATGCAGCTGTTGAGAAAATGAATTAAAATCTTTTTCATTTTGCAGAAGGAAATGATGGAATTTTTCTGTACCTCAGTATGTGTCAACTGAGAGTCATATACATTAGTTTTAATCTCTTAATATTGAGACTCAGGTTACAAAGCTGATGAGTTATTATCTATGGAAATGTGAGAAATATCTAATAGCCTGTAAAGTCTGAGAAATAAGTATCAAAATAGTTTAGGAAAATGAGAGGAGAACAGTAGGATTGCTGTGGCCTAGACTTCTGAGTAATTAATAAAGAAAAAGAAATACCCTTTGGCCTACAGATCAGAGTTTTATTTATTTTTATTTTTTGCTTTTTATTATAGTTTAAGTTCTGGGGTGCATGTGCAGAAAGTGCAGTTTTGTTACATAGGTATACTCGCACCATGGTGGTTTGCTGCACCCATAAACCTGTCATCTACATTAGGTATTTCTCTTAGTGCTGTTCCTCTCCTAGCCCTCCATCCCCTGACAGGCCCCAGTGTGTGATGTTCCCCTCCCTGTGTCCATGCGTTCTCATTGTTCAGCTCCCACTTATGAGTGAGAACATGCATTGTTTGGTTTTCTGTTCTTGTGTGTGTTTGCTGAGAATGGTTGTTTCCAGCTTCATCCATGTTCCTGCAAATGACATGAGCTCACCCTTTTTAATGGCTGCATAGTATTCCATGGTATATATGTGCCACATTTTCTTTATCCAGCCTATCATTGATGGGCATTTGGGTTGGTTCTAAGTCTTTTCTATTGTGAATAGTGCCACAGTAAACATGCATGTGCATGTGTCTTTATAGTAGAATGATTTATAATCCTTTGGGTATATACCCAGTAATGGGATTGCTGGGTCAAATGGTATTTCTAGTTCTAGATCCTTGAGGAATTGCTAGACTGTCCTCCACAATGGTTGAACTAATTTACACTCCCACCAACAGTGTAAAAGTGTTCTTATTTCTCCACATCCTCTTCAGCATCTGTTGTTTCCTGACTTTTTAATGATCTCCATTCTAACTGGTGTGAGATGCTATCTCATTGTGGTTTTGATTTGGATTTCTCTAATGATCAGTGATGATGAGCTTTTTCTCATATGTCTGTTGGCTGCATAAATGTCTTCTTTTGAAAAGTGTCTGTTCAAATCCTTCACCCACTTTTTATGGGGTTGTCTGTTTTTTTCTTGTAAGTTTGTTTATGTTCCTTGTAGATTCTTGGTATTAGCCCTTTGTCATATGGATAGCTTGCAAAAATTTTCTCCCATTCTGTAGGTTGACTGTTTACTCTGATGATAACTTATTTTGCTGCCTGGAAGCTCTTTAGTTTAATTAGATCCCATTTATCAATTTTGGCTTTTGTTGCCATTGGTTTTTGTGTTTTAGTCATGACATCTTTTCCCATGCCTATGTCCTGAATGGTATTACCTAGGCTTTCTTCTAGGTTTTTTATGGTTTTAGGTCTTATGTTTAAGTCTTTAATCCATCTTGAGTTAATTTTTGTATAAGGTGTAAGGAAGGGGTCCAGTTTCAGTTTTCTGCATATGCTAGCCAGTTTTCCCAACACCATTTATTAAATAGGAAATCCTTTCCCCATTGCTTGTTTTTGTTAGGTTTATCAAAAATCAGATGGTTGTAGATGTGTGGTGTTATTTCTGAGGCCTCTGTTCTGTTCCATTGGTCTATATATTTGTTTTGGTACCACTACCATGCTGTTTTGTTTACTGTAGGCTTGTGATATAGTTTGAAGTCAGGTAGTGTGATGCCTACAACTTTGTTCTTTTTGCTTAGGATTGTCTGGGCTATGCAGGCTCTTTTTTGGTTCCATGTGAAGTTTAAAGTAGTTTTTTCCAATTCTGTGAAGAAAGTCAATGGTAGTTTGATGGGGATAGCATTGAATATATAAATTGCCTTGGGCAATATGGCCATTTTCACAATATTGAGTCTTCCTATCCATGAGCATGGAATGTTTTTCAATTTATTTGTATCCTCTCTTATTTCCTTCGGCAGTGGTTTGTAGTTCTCCTTGAAGAGGTCCTTCACATCCATTGTAAGCTGTATTTCTAGATATTTTATTCTCTTTTCAGCAATTGTGAATGGGAGTTCACTCATGATTTGGCTCTCTGTTTGTTATTGGCATATTGGAATACATGTGATTTTTGCACATTGATTTTGTATCCTGAGACTTTGCTGAAGTTGCTTATCAGCTTAAGGAGATTTTGGGCTGAGATGGTGGGATTACCTACTTATACAATTATATCATCTGCAAACAGAGACAATTTGACTTCCTCTTTTCCTATTTGAGTACCCTTTCTTTCTTTCTCTTGCCTGATTGCCCTGGCCAGAACTTTCAATACTATGTTGAATAGGAGTGGTGAGAGAGGGCATCCTTGTCTTGTGCCAGTTTTCAAAGGTAATGCTTCCAGCTTTTGCCCATTCAGTATGATATTGGCTGTGGTTTTGTCATAAATCTGTCTTATTATTTTGAGATACGTTCCATCAATACCTAGTTTATTGAGAGTTTTTAGTATGAAGGAGTGTTGAATTTTATCAAAGGCCTTTTCTGCATCTATTGAGATAATCATGTGGTTTTTGTCATTGGTTCTGTTTATGTGATGGATTGTGTTTATTGATTTCTGTATGTTGAACCAGCCTTGCGTCCCAGGGATGAAGCCAACTTGATCATGGTGGATAAGCTTTTTGATGTGCTGCTGCATTCGGTTTGCCAGTATTTTGTTGAGGATTTTCCCATCAATGTTCATCAGGGATATTGGCCTGAAATTTTCTCTTTTTTTTTTTTTTTTTTTTTTTGTATCTCTGTCAGGTTTTGGTCTCAGGATGATGCTAGCCTCATAAAATGAGTTAGGGAGGAGTCCTTCTTTTCCTATTGTTTGGAATATTTTCAGAGAGAATGGTACTAGCTTTGTACCTCTTTGTACCTCTGGTAGAATTCGGCTGTGAATCTGTGTGGTCCTGGATTTTTTTTGGTTGGTAGGCTATTAATTACTGCCTCAATTTCAGAACTTGTTATTGGTTTATTTAGGGATTCAACTTCTTCCTGGTTTAGTCTTGGGAGGGTGATGTGTCCAGGAATTTATCCATTTCTTCTAGATTTTCTAGTTTATTTGCTTAGAGGTATTTATGGTAATCTCTGATGGTATTTTGCATTTCTGTGGGATCAGTGGTGATCTCCTCTTTATCATCTTTTATTGTGTCTCTTTGATTCTTCTCTCTTTTCTTCTTTTTAGTCTGGCTAGTGTTCTATTTTGTTGATCTTTTCAAAAAATCAGATCCTGGATTCATAGATTTTTTTAAAGTGTTTTTCATGTCTCTATATCCTTCAGTTCTGCTCTGATCTTAATTATTTCTTATCTTCTGCTAACTTTTGAATTTGTTTGCTCTTGCTTCTCTAGTACGTTTAATTGTGATATTAGGGTGTCAATTTTAGATCTTTCCTGATTCCTCTTGTGGGCAGTTAGTGCTATTAATTTCCCTCTACACACTGCTTTCAGTGTGTTCCAGAGATTCTGGTACATTGTGTCTTTGTTCTCATTGTTTTCAAAGAACATCTTTATTTCTGCCTTAATTTTGTTATTTACCCAGTACTCATTCAGGAGCAGGTTGTTCAGTTTCCAAGTAGTTGTGAGGTTTTGTGTCAGTTTCTTAATCCTGAGTTCTAATTTGATTGCATTGTGGTCTGAGAGACTGTTCGTTATGATTTCCATTCTTTTGCATTTTCTGAGTAGTGTTTTGCTTCCAATTATGTGATCACTTTTAGAATAAGTGTGATGAGGTGCTGAGAAGAATGTATATTCTGTTGATTTGGGATGGAGAATTCTGTAGATGTCTGTTAGGTCCACTTGGTCTAGAGCTGAGTTCAAGTCCTAAATATCTTTGTTAATTTTCTGTCTCATTTATCTGTCTAATATTGACAGCAGTCTGTTAAAACTTCCCACTATTATTGTGTGGGAGTCTAAGTCTCTTTGTAGTTCTCTAAGAACTTGCTTTATGAATCTGGGTGCTCCTGTATTTGGTGTATATATATTTAGGATAGTTAGCTATTCTTGTTGCATTGATCCCTTTACCATTATGTAATGCCCTTTTTTGTCTCTTTTGATCTTTGTTGATTTAAAGTCTGTTTTATCAGAGACTAGGATTGCAACCCCTGCTTTTTTTTCTGCTTTCCTTTTGCTTGGTAAATATTCCTCCATCCCTTTATCTTGAGCCTATGTGTGTCCTTGCATGTGAGATGGGTCTCCTGAATACAGCACACCGATGGGTCTTGAGTCTTTATCCAATTTGCAATTCTGTGTCTTTTACTTGGGGCATTCAGCCTGTTTACATTTAAGGTTAGTATTGTTATGTGTGAATTTGATCCTGTCATATGATGCTAGCTGGTTATTTTGCCTGAAAGTTGATGCAGTTTCTTTATAGTGTCGATGGCCTTTACAATTTGGCATGTTTTTGCAGTGGCTGATATTGATTGTTTCTTTCCATGTTTAGTGCTTCCTTCAGGAGCTCTTGTAAGGCAGGCCTGGTGGTGACAGAATTTCTCAGCATTTGCTTGTCTGTAAAGGATTTTATTTCTCCTTTGCTTATGAAACTTAGTTTGGTTGGATATGAAATTAGGGGTTGAAAATTCTTTTCTTTAAGAATGTTGAATATTGGCCCCCACTCTATTTTGGCTTGTAAGGTTTCTGCAGAGAGATCCTCTGTTAGTCTGATGGGCTTCCCTTTGTGGGTAGCCCGACCTTTCTCTCTGGCTGCCCTTAACATTTTTTTTTCCTTCATTTCAACCTTGGTGAATATGACGATTACGTGTCTTGGGGTTGCTCTGCTGGAGGAGTATCTTTGTGGTGTTCTCTGTATTTCCTTAATTTGAATATTAGCCTGTCTTGCTAGGTTGGGGATGTCCTCCTGGATAATATCCTGAAGTGTTTTCCAACTTGGTTCCATTCTCCCAGTCACTTTCAGGTACATCAGTCAAATGTAGATTTGGTGTTTTCACATAATCCCATATTTTTTGGAGGCTTTATTAGTTCCTTTTCATTCTTTCTTTCTCTAATCTTGTCTTCTCCTTTATTTCATTAAGTTGATCTTCAGTCTTTGATATCCTTTCTTGTGCTTTATCGATTTGGCTATTTATAGTTGTATATGCTTCATGAAGTTCTCGTGCTGTGTTTTTCAGCTCCATCAGGTCATTTATGTGCTTCGCTATACTGGTTATTCTAGTTAGCAATTCCTCTAAACTTTTTACAGTGTTCTTAGCTTCCTTGCATTGGGTTAGAACATGCTCCTTTAGCTT